TATCATTAAAGAATTCATTTGGATAGATGAACTTATAAATCTTGATCGTTATAAAGGGCAATGTTATTTATTTATTTTTGTGAAGGATTTATAAAATTTGTTTTACTATTTTCAAGATCAATTAAAGATCAATAGGTGGAAGATAAATATTTTTAATCTAAAATAAACATTTTCAATACGTTGATTTTTTTTTTTTCAAATAGTCTATATTAAGTAATTAGCTACATCTTGATAATAACAATGTTTCGATCTCAAAGTAATATCGATTGTTTGAATTTCTTTTATTGCCTAAAGTATAAATAACACTATCACTATTCACCGTCACCTTATATGAATATTACTCCTAATTAACATGTAATACTCCAAATAATAACTACTGTATTTTATTGCTTTAATTTATATTTCTTACTTCTTTATTTAATTTGTTTTTTTTAAAATCTTTTTTATATTTATTAATTTTTTAAAATATATTTTCAATATTTTAGCTAACATTGCTTAAAGCAATAAAGTTTCAAGAGTATTTCAATACATTATACACGTGAATAGCTGAAGATAATTTAAACTGAAACCTTCTTTTACTTTTTAAACTTCATATATAATCAAATTTAGGTAAAAATGATATATTTTGTTTGAATTTGTTTGTCCAACTTTTCTTTTTAATTTATTTATAAAAGAATGCCTTTTTCCTTTTTTGATAATTCTTTAACTTTAATTTTTCAAATGACACATTTAAGACTACAAAATTAAAGTACATTTAATATATTCTATGTATATATCTTTAGTTTAAGATTCCAAACTATGTATATCAAATTAAAACCAGACAATCAATTTAAACGAAAAAAGTAAATGCCGATTTTAATTTGGACATACCATTTAAAAAACAATCTAATCCTAGAAAGTAAAACTTACCCTTCATTAATGCCTTGTAAAAAATGTATTCCCTTCGTCTCGATTTATATGATTTACTTTTCTTTTAGTCAGTTTAAAAAAGAATGACACATTTTTATATTAAGTAACAATTTAATTTTAAAATGTTCATTTTATCGCTAGTGAAATGATTTATAGCAACACAAATTTTCAAAAGTCTTTCTTTCTTTCTTAAACTTCGTACCGAGTCAAACTATCTTACATAAAACGAGACGGAAAGAATAGTTATTTAGTAGTTTCTCGGTCAAAAAATATAATTAATTTGGTGTTGTAAAATATTATTTATTTTGTTAAATACCACTTGTTTAGGAAGTGGAGTGTATATTGTATAGATAGAATTAGGGGTGTTCACGAGTAGGTTTGGATCGGTAATTGGTCAAAACCAAAACCAAACCAACTCAATCGATTTTAAAATTATCAAAACAAAACCAAACCAAATATAATATACATTTACCGGTTTGGTGGTTATCGGTTTTGGTTTGATTTGGTTCGCTTATTTGGTTATTAATCATACACAAAAATAAAAGAAACAATTCATTCAAAATGAAAAAAGTGACAACAATCCATTCAAGACGAAAAATAGTTAGAATGACTTAAATTACTGAACTTTCGATCACTAAATGTACTATCAATAAGCTTTAAAATTCACTATATTGACCTAGAAGGAAGAGACTAACATTTTCAGTCCCACAAAGAATTGTCATAGACACTCATATACATGAAATCAATAAGATAAATGTTTTCATCTTGGGCATTTTTGCTTTCAATAAGTAAATTATAAATAAATTTTAATGAAAATATATATAAGATCTTTAAAGTTGTTTATAAAAAATAATATATTAAGTATGTATATTAATAAAATATATCTATATAATTCATCGGTTTGGTTCAATTATTTCTTCAGTTTTTTCGAATAAAATCATAACCAAACCAAATACTATCAGTTTTCAAAAATCTAAAACCAAATTAAACCCAAATAAAATTGATTTTATTTTATCGATTTAATTTAATTTTTCAATTTGGATCGTTTTTATCCAAACCGTGAACACCCTTAGTTGATGATTAATACTTTTAAGGTTGGAATTATTATAATTGGAGAAAAAGGTAGAGAATAAGTCAATAAGGCAGCTGAATCCCTGATTTGGAAGTTAGCTTGGTGAAACGTGGGGCAGTGTGAAAGGTCACTTATACAACCTGTCACCCCCATTTTACAGCCTGGCAATGCATTGTGGCATCCCATTTTACCTTTTGATTTAAGTAAAGTGCATTTGTATAATTTGAAATAGTAAGTTCAGATGCAATGGTGAAATTGTTTCATTTTTAATAAGAGGTTTTGATTTTAAATTTAGGTATGATGAAAATTCTATGAGGTACATTATTTCCAAATAAGTTATGCCATGTATAATTAGATTTAATCGAGACTTCAATACGGTTTTTTTTTTAATTAATAGACTTCAATACGAATTCTGAACACCAGATAAAAATAAAAAGAAAATATAATACACTATTTAATTTATTTCGGAAAGTGTCATCGCTATTCCTTTACTATCCAAAATATTTTAATTTGTTTATATTATTGTCATACTTTAGAGTGATTCATACTAATATATTACTAGTTTAGAATTATATTCTCCCATATTCAATTTCTTTATCTTATCCGTATTCCGTTACGAAGATAACAAAGCCTAATTCTAAGCCATTTTTTCTCTCAAATATTTTGACACGTAAAAACTATCCGGCTTATGTTGGAGTTTTGTTAGAATAAAGAGCAAATGTGAGTCAATTAGCTAATTATAAGAATATGAATGAATGATTCTAACTAGTGTTTTGAAAGGTAGGGGCGTGAGGCGAGGCGTTTTATGCAGTATGGGACGAGGAGTAAGCTCTGAGACACAAAGTGTAAGTCCCATGAATCTACAGCGCATAGCCTCATGTATATTCAATTTTATAATTTTCTTACGAAGAAAATGAGCAAAATGAAACTTCAATGATTTTACAAATAATTTTTATAAATAACCTATAATATATTGAAAAAATATTACTCCCTCCGTTTCACAAAGAGTGACCTGGTTTGACTTGATACAAAGTTTTAGAAATAAAGAAGACTTTTGAATCTCGTGGTCCTAAATTAAAGTTATATCAAATGTACTAAATTGCCCTTCAATCTTGTGAATTTAAACATGCCACGTGGAAAACTGAAATTAAAATGTTACCAAAAAAGGAAATAGGTCATTCTTTTTAAAACAAACTAAAAAGGAAAGGAGATCATTCTTTTTTAAACGGAGGGAGTATGATTTTATTTGAGATAGGTATTAATAATCAATAATGAAGGGAAAAAAAGTATTATAATTACGATTTGAGAAATATCATTACACCAATAAAAAAAAAATTGATTTAAAGCAAAAAAAGGTTTAAAAAAATAAAAAACGCCTGGGGCGTACGTTTTTACGCCCAGGACTTACGCTTTTTGCTCGGGGCTTACGCGTCTTATGGATGTACGTCTTCAATTTGCGCCCCGGAGCATTTTTGGTACGCCCCCCCGAGACTCTCCCCAAAAACGTTTTTTGTAATCTTTGGATATAACATAAAGTAAAATTAAGATATTTTATATAATTAAGGAGGCGTAAATCTGACTTTTCCCTTTAGTATGTTAGGTGAATATTCTTACACTATACATTATTATTATAAATTTAACAATTCTAGCATGCAATTACTATTTTAATTATTTTTTATTTCAATTTATCTTATATAGTTTGACTTGACATTTTTTAAAATTTAGTTTTTTTTACTTGACATAGAGTTTAAGAATGAAATATTTTTAAAATGTGTGGCTTAAAATTAATAGGTAATAAATGTTTGTTGACTATAAATTATTTCATTAAAACTAAAATGAACATTTAAAAGTTTAATTAATTAGTTTTAAATATAAAAATATATCATACTTTTTCCAGACCGACTAAAGAGTAAAATGAATCGTATAAAATTGAGATCGAAGAATAAAAAGTATATTGCAACTAGGGTAATACTAATAATAATAGAAAGGACCTGCATCTGACTTTTCAATGGTTTGTTAATAATATCTTCCTTAATTTATTGTTAGTGCGTGCAACTTATATACATCACAATCTTTCGGTCCAAATGAGAATTATGAATAAGTTTGACTTCATGTAATTTATCAGTATATAAAACGTTAAGCACTTCCATTTAAGGTTTATTAACAATTGAAAAATTCCAGGTAAAATAGTGGTAATCCTATATTTATTTGGACAATCCTCTTCATAAGCTAATTTTTAAAATTACATTGAGTTACTCAAAATTAATTTCTCTACATGATATGAGAGCATGATCCTCCCTAATTATTGTGTATTGATGTTTGACCCCACGTTAATTGCCTATACACGCACCATACTAGGCATGGGGTGGGGTGGTGAAGTTGAAGAGTCCCATATTGAATGAAATATGATTTTTTTTATAGACCTAAAAAATTCATTTCCCGTGAGGTAATTTTTAGTGTTGGGTAGCCTCAAATTCATTTCTTTCCATTAACCAAAAATTTCGAGTTTTAACCTGAGAAAATGGAAAAAATCATATCGGGAGTGTCGTCTTTAACATTTATATATTATATTAATAATAGTCTTTTTTTTTTTTGTTTTCCACCTAGTATAGGTCTAGTACCACATTATTGGAGCCCGACTAAATCTAGATTCGCGCCAAAAAGTTCCGCATTAGAGGTAAAATGCTCTCTAACAAAAGCAACTCGATATCTAAAAAGATTCGAATCTGAAACCTCTAATTAAAATTGGAGGAATACTTACTCGCCACTCTACCACAATTTTTGTTGTTATATTAATAGTACTCTCACTATTTCGAGAGGACACCAAATTTAAAAGGTGTCACATCAAGATGAAGCAAAAAATATTGTATTTCTCATACTACTACATGACAAATAGAGGTGGCCTTTATAAACCTCACCACTCTTCTCTTTTCTCACTCGCCGTTGTGTCTTTTCAAACAACAATTAAATTACTAGCTACAATATCTCTTTCCCTTTCTCCAATTCATACATTTACATAATGGGCATTATATGCAGTTCATACGAATCCACATCAGTAGCCACAGCCAAATTAATACTTCACGATGGAAGATTACAAGAGTTTTCTTATCCAATTAAAGCTTCTTTCTTATTACAAAACGACCCTACAATCTTCATTTGTAACTCCGACGAAATGGATTTTGGAAACGTCGTTTGCGCCGTAAAAGCCGAAGAAGAGCTTCAGCTTGGTCAGCTATATTTTGCCTTACCTTTGAGCCAACTAAAACATAAGCTGAAAGCTGAAGAAATGGCTGCATTAGCTGTCAAGGCTAGCTCTGCATTAAACCATAGTAGTAGTAGTAGTGGTGAAAAATTTATAGTATTTGAAAAAAGTGGTCCCAATTTTTCAAAAAAATATGGTGGATGATAATAATGATCCTACTCCTAAAGGGAATGGCAGGAGAAAGAAGTTCACCGCAAAGTTGAGTTCAATAAATGAGTAGCCTATCTCAACTATTGCATTGCCTATTTTCCATCAACACATGTATTATTAGATAACTTTGCGTATCAAGGCTTAGTTAGATAGATATTACAAGTAGCTAGTATTTTTTTTTTTCGTCTTTGTTTGTGAGATCTGAATTCTGATTTCTCATGATTTTCAATTGGTCTATTAACAGTTAGGCTAAATCCTTTGTGCATATTTTAGAATTAGTTACTGTTCATTTTGAGATGTAATTAGATAGTAGGTTTAATCTTGTAAAAGTATTGTGCTTGTTAATTGTTTTAGGTTAATTTTATTGTACTTGTTGCCAATGGTGGGGTTGTATCACAATTTTACCCCCTCAATGTACGGGTTTGATTAAGGTAGAGGAGTACAATAATCAGCTTGATTTACTGTCAATTACGATAACCGTTAGTACAATTTTGTTAATATCTAATTCTTCTGTCCACTTTTATTTGTCATGTTACGTTTTTTCAAAAGTCAATTTGACTAATTTTTAAAGTTAAATTAGATTACATTAATTTGATATTTTAAACAAAAAAAAATTAGATATTCAAAAACTATAGAAAAAGTACAATAAATTGTAATTTTTTAAATATCAATTTGATGAAAAAATATATCGTACAATATTAGTCAAAATAATAATAATTTCACTCTAAAAAGGAAGTTATGACAATTAAAAGTAAACGGAAATAATATAAACTATAGCCTATATATATATATATAGAAGTCATGCATAACAGTATCGTGAATTGTGACCACTAAGAAGGATCAGGAGTAAAACAGTAGTAGTAATAAATAGGAGCATGCAGGGGTGGAGATCGAGAGCACAAAGTGAGTTGTATAATTTTAGTTCAAATTTTGTATTGTTTTTTTTAGGCTTAAGTCATTTGCGGTCTCTTAAAGTTATTCGCATAATTTACTTAGACTCTTCAACTAGGATTAGTACCTTACACACTTTTATCTATTCAAAACTTGTTCATATTAGACATTTTTCGATAATAAGCAAAAAAAAAAAAAAGTATGTGTAATACACTTGCTGTGATGTGACAAAATGACTAATTAAAAGATAACATGTGGCGTTGGGCCCAATAATTATAAAAAAAAAAGGAATTTTAATGTTAAAAAGAATGAAAATTATATCAAATAAATTTTCCATCTATTTTTTTTTATAAAAACAAAATAAATGAGAAGCCAACCCTACCCCAACTCCCTTTCTTCTTCATCTTCTTCCTAGCAAGATTTTCTTTCTCAAACGATAAAACTCATTTTCTTTGGTAATTGCTTACATAATTATTTTTAATTCCTAATACGTCAAAGAGAGATATATTCAAAGAGACTGATATAAGAGTGATGAAGTAAGAGAGTCTGTCAATCGTCTTGAAATCGATAGCAAAGAGAAATTGAGAGGACCTAAATTAGTTTTATCGAATCAATCTGATATTATTTTTGATAATTTAGTGGGTTTACATTTTAATTTGAATGGTAATATTTATTTGAAGGTGACGAGATGACGTCGATCAGCTAACTTTTTTCAGCCCATGTTCTTTCTTCTTTTTTTCCTCCAAATTCAATTAGCTGATTCAATTTTAATTTTTTAATAAATATTGAAAAGAAATAGAATAGAAAAAGAAAAGCAAAAAAATAAAATGGAGTGCAGTGGCCTTCTTGGAGAAGACGACTTAAAGGGGTGGAGTGGGGACTTTTTTTTTTTTTTTTTTAGTTTTAAGAATCAATATTACTTTTTAAAATATTTTTTTAAATTAAATATTTAAATGCCAAATGGCAGTCAAAGAAGAAAAAGTATTAAGTTTTTTTGGAAAAAATAAAAATATAAAACGTTATTTAAGATTTTTTTCACGCGCTTAGCGGAAGTGAAAAACACTTCTTGTGCCATATCAACATTTTGTGTTTAATAAGTATACTTTTTGAACAATTCAGATATTCAATAGGTAATAATCATAATTAAGGTGTCTAACTGAAATATGTGAACAACTTTAAAGGGCTGCAAATGACTTAAACCTTTTTTTTTTTATAAAGTATTCATATAATATATATAATATTATTAATTTAGAACTTCAGGTCAGAAAGACTAAAATCTCAAACTCATAAATTTTAATTTAAATGTTGTGGCCTTGTGGGATCATGGAAAAGAAGTGTGATGGCGACTTATGCAACTTGCAACCAAATACTCTTTCCGTCCCAATTTATGTGACATTTTTTGAATTTCAAGATTCAAACAAATTTATGTTTGACTGTAAATTTTTCATACATTTTTTAAATCTTTTGAATTGTCAATTATTGTGAGTTATAGTTATAATACTTTTTACGTAGTTTATAAATATATAAATTTCATTCAAAAAATCTAAAGATTTCATGTCTAAATTGTTGGTCAAATTTAAACGGTTTAACTTTAAAAAAAACTAAATATACCACATAAATTAAGACAGAGGAAATAGCCTAGTAATTTACTGAGCAAGTTAAACGTCCAGTTAATTAGGTAAGTTGCTAGAAATATGTCCCCTCTAACGAAGAGTGCTAGAAGTGGAGAATGAGTGGGGAACAAAGACTTGGGAGGATTTCCCCTTTCTTGAAAAAAAAAAGTATAGAAGAAGAAAAGATTTTGACGTATTTAATTAATTTCTTTACTGTTTCAAAGAAGATTGACAATAGTTACAGTAGAAAATGTGTCATGACAATTGCAAACCTAATAAAAGCACACAATCAATCACACATTACAAAGGTAAAAAAAGCTAGGCACAAGATTTATCAAGTTTGACAAATATGAGGGCAAAGTTCACAAATATCCGATTTTGGGCCATTATTTAATTTATATTTAAAAATTATCTTGCAAATTTACCCATGATTGAAGTTGAAAATTAATTTGCATCTAACTTCAGACATTTTTATTTGAAATTTGGTCTAGATTAAATATTAAACATGTTTATCTGAAGTTTGGTATACCTTGTCAAGACCGACTTCAGACATACTTGATTGAAGGTGACTTCAGACTTGACAAGACCAAACTTCAGAATTTGGAGTTTCACTCATGGTGTCTTCAATGAGTGAAGTTCGACTTAGACTTAGTGTTGCACTCGTGCCAAGTGTATCTTAAATTTATTTCACGCATGAATGTACCTTAAGCTAGTTTATATCCTTTTAGTCTAAAATCAACCCAAAAATAAATAAAAAATTATGGAAAATTTATGATATAATAAGTCATGAAATCTTCGTTAATCAAGAATTCAAGACCGAACAAAGCTTTTGAAGCAGACAAAGAAGAAGTTGAGGAAAAACGATTTTGTATAAAGTTCACCCTTTATGCATAGTTGTTATGTCTAATTATTTATTAGACGATTTGATAGTACAAATTTTATTTTATTTGATTGGTTTTCCACCTAATATTTGATATCCGATATCTATGTTGGAGTCCAACTAATTTTGGAATTGCTTCGAAAAGCGTTCCCTAACAAACACGACTCCGTACTAACCAGGGAGACTCAAATATAAGACGTCTTATTAAGAATGAATGAGTACTTATCACTCTACCATAATCCTTATCGGTACATAACAAAATTATTTACCCTTGTATACAACTCAAAACGCGACTCCGTATGAGGGAGACTCAAATATGAGACATCTTATTAAGAATGAATGAGTACTTACCACTCTATCACAATCCTTATCGGTACATAACAAAATTATTTACCCTTGTGTACAACTCATTCCAAAATACATTCAATGTGTACGCACACTAGTGGCATGTATTGAATATACATGCTAGCTGTGAATTAGAAGGCAGTAGCCAAAATCACATCGTGTACAGAACTAGTCTGCTTTGGGAAGAACACATCATATGGATGGGACAATATGTACAAAACTCTAATTAGAACCTCCAAATTGATCAATGATTACATAGGATTCAACTTAGGCTGAGTTGGCCCTCCATGCTTAGCTAGTGGCCTTTTGAATATATGTGCACCTAACTTTAGCATCCAGGATTCAGTTTTTGGTGTCTCTTTGTTTATATTTGCATTATTGTGCATTTTCTCTTCCACAACCATACTGGCCCCATCCTATATAGGACCACTCATCTCACTAGCTAATCTAATGTGTGTAATTTTCATTACTTATTATTACTATTTGAATTTAATATTGTCATTAAACTTGGAATGGCAAAAAAGTTATTTGAATTAGAATTGGAAAGATACGTACGTGGAGAATAAATAAGTAAATAAAAGCTTTTGTTTTGACATGTGTTTATCATCACAATAGCTAAATATGAATAATCACAACAATAAAAATAACTTTTAGCAACAATACATTAAATATACCAATTAATAAAGAGTGTTAAAGCTTTTACCGACATTAATTAATTGTCATTGGATCAAAATGTCGTTATAGGCTTTAGAGATGCTTGCAAAGAGTGCTAATTGCACATGTTTAACGGCAATTAAGCTATTGCTTTTAATTAAATGCCACTAAAGATTATTTTTGATGTAGTGAATGAGGCATGAAATATATGATGTGTACTTACCACAATGATTAAAGAGATATTTAGTAGCATTAAATTTTTCTTTTAGTGGCAATATTTGTTGCTGCAAAAATATCTGGCGGTAATTGATGAGTTAATGTCATTGTATATCGTATATATAGTCGCTAAATCTTAAGCGACATTTATATAAAGTATCGTTATAAATATTCATATTTATTATTATTGCTAATTATAATATAATTACAAATATACTTTATTTTTAAATCCTTTATTTGTTGTACTTAGTAACAAAAAGTCCAAAGAATAATCATGAGTTATAGTGTTTTAGTGCCACATATATAGTGCAACTTGTAGAATTGAATTGGGTTGGACAATAAATTTAACAGAAACCATTGATAGTGCAAAAACAGGTGCGCGGTTTATGCTCTGG